TCTTTCAGCCTCGGAAGAGTGAAAGGTAAACAATTCACCAGGAACATGGTTAAATGACCCATGCTGCCGGTGCTGCCTCTGGACCGTGAGTGAGGCCTCGGGTCACCGACAAGGCCCTCAGGCCTGGCGATGCCCCCACTGGGTGCCTGTACCTGGGGTGTGAGGTTGCGGAGAACGAGCCAGCTGCTTGTCCTTCCTGAGGTGTCAGTACTCCAGGCAGAACCTGTGCCCAGGGAAGAACCCGGTCAACAAGGCTGCGGTGAGTCAGACAGCTCTTCCCAATGCCCTCCCATCTCACCACATGGACGCAGCACGGGCCGAACCTGTGCTCCAAGCCTTTCCCAACCCCCGGAAACCAACCCAGAGTCACAGTCCCCGCAGACCCCCGGGAGGCGGGTGTGGCGGCAGAGACTTGAGAACTGCCTGGAAGTTCTGGTCTCCTCCTCTGTCCGCCCCCCCCAGCTTTATAATCAATGCTCTAAAATCCCACTTGCTAACAAAAATGAAGCAGACTTGCAGGGCTGGCTTCACTCTCAGCTTCTTAAATGCCCTGTGCACCCGGCTCGTCCCCACAGTCCAGCAGGGGGCTGGAAGAAGCCTCCAGAGCTGCAACTTAGGATGGGGTGGTGTGCTCACACTGGGAATCGAGACCCTCCTGCTCGTTGATCGGGCCTCTCCAAGGGCCCAGTGCGGCCCCTCAGTGGGTGCCGAGACCGCCCGCCGGGACCTCCTGGCTCCGAACAAAGCTGTGTGCGGGCACCCAGGGCTGATGCTGAAACACAGGCAGCAGAGCCCGGGCCCAGATAATCCCCGAGGGTCTAGGGCGCCTTGGCCCCACCTAAGCCCTCCCAGGGTCCAGGGGTCCTTACAAAGGAGCTGCAGGACAAAATGATAGGCATCTTCCCTAAAGGACAAGCGGAGCAGGCACGGACACCCCCATCCCAGCCACCCCGTTTGGACATGAGAACGGACGCGTACCCGAGGAGTAGGAGCTGGTCCAGCCGAGGGGACTGGCTCCCCAGGTGGAGGAAGGCTTGGGATTGGTTAACCCTGGAGGTGGCCTTGTGGGTGCAGTAGTGTTTCTGGGCACCTTCCACAGTTCATGAGACAGAGAGGCTTTTGTGTGGGAGGCAGGGCCAGAGGACCACGTCGATTTAATGTCTGACAGTTTACCTGGAAAGGCAGAGAAGTGGAGCATTTCTCTTTAAGAAGAGATAATAGTTTTACTTGAGTTCCTTTGTTGTTATTTGGCTGCCTAGGTGTTCCTGATATCCGTCAAGTCCTTGGCAGATGGGCAGGGTTGTTAAAAAGGAGATCATAACAGTGAGAGGACTGTGTGACCGAAATGAGGCACCAAGTCAAGCTCCCACACGAGGACCACAGGCATCCTCTCTCTTGAACTTCTGCCCAGAGACACAGTCTGCTGGTGTCCGGTATAGAGACTGCCAGTATTTCTGATACTTAATTTGCTAGATGTGCCAGACACGAGCTTGCCACCCAGAAAAACTGCATTTTTGTAGTTCAGTGTTAAAGCTAACTTAACAAGTTCTGCTGGGACACATCTTATCTCATAACAAACTAGTCAAGGTCAAGAGCTTTTTACGCCATTTCTTTAGGTGTCAGTCCCCGTCAAAGCAACGCCCCCTCTGACATAACCCGCCTGAGCTCACGTTGACCAGCGTCGCCTTTGCGGCTTTGAGACTCGCTCTCTGTGCCTATAGAAACGGGTGTGGCCCAGGGCTGAGCGGTTTGGCATCTTGGCACCTTGGCCGGGGAAAGCCTGTTTTAAGGATCTTGGGGAGAAAAACCAAAACCAGTAATGACCACCAGCTCCAGCCCCTCCTGTGCCCGGGGCACCTGCCACGCCCGCTTCAGCGGCCCAGCGCTGCGAGGACAGCAGGCAGAGTGGTTGCTGTCACCATGCTCCTTGGGCAGCAGGGCAGCGCCCAGGCCGGCACAAGCCCCGTGTGGAGCGCCTCTGCCACCCTGGTGGCCAGGGTCGACTGCAGCTTCACGACAACAAATGCTAATCTGAGCAAAGGCGTCACTGATCAGAAAAACCAAAACGCCATAAAAAACTGCCTGAGATACGGGAAGATGGTTTTGTTCACCCGTCTCTTTAGCCAAATGACTGGGAAGTATTAAAGGCCTAACGCATCCCCTTTGTAAACATCAGAGGGAATAAACATTAGAAGGAACAGACGTAATCCAGAAGCTCTTTTTTCTCTCTCTTTTTAAATAAGATGCTAAAGTACATCAAAACTACTTTCTCCCCTAGGCACCGGTATAAAAGGAATTCTTACAGCATTCTTACATGGATTTAAACAAACTCTGGATGAGAAGGCTGGTGGAATGCAGAAACATATTTGAAGAAATTTATAAACAATAAACCCTCTTTACTTAAGTTCCACCTCGTTTTAGAAACCTGTACTGTACACATTCTGTTTGTGTGCGTGTCCATTATCTCTATCCTTGTCTTAAAATTTCCAGGTAACAATTCCTTTGAAGTTACTATGACAAACAATTCTCAATTCTCCTCTCAGCCTCAAAGAAGTTTCTAACTTCAAAGACGCATAAGGTCTATACTGAGAGAGGAATAACCCAGGCCCTGCATGGATCCCAGAGATGGCAGTGGAGCACAGGGCTGCTGTGGCCTCCTAGCCCCTGGCGGCCAATGCAAGTTAACAGCAGGTCCCCAGAGGTGGCCGCCTTCACGTCTTTAAGCCTCCTATACTCCTGGTCTCATGGCTACGGTGGGAAGGGAGGGGAGGGGAGAGCAGCTGTGTCACATCCTGCCCTGGGGAGTTTACCTAATCCCTGGATCTTCGTGACAGCCCACGGAGGAGGTGTCACCATTCCCACTCCACGGGGGTGGGGGTGGGTGGGAGCAGTGGTGCCCGTGGCCCCACGGCTGCTCAGCAAAGCTCAGGCCCGCTCTCCATCACACCACATGGCCTCCCAGCTCAGGGAGGAGCAGACAGACCACCAGGAAAAGCCAGGCCATCCGTTTTGTTTGCGGAAAGAGAGAAAAGGCTACCTGCAAGTCGAGAGGCCAGGTGCGTACCTGCAATACTAGGAGCGGGCACAAGGCTGCTGAGAGCGCGACTGTAGCCGGAGGCAGCGAGCGGCCAGGCACTCGAGGAAGGCAGTGTGGCACTCTGAGATGACGGTGGGGAGGACCCTGCAGAACCAAACGCGGCACTAAGAAAGGTGAGCACGGGCCTGCGGGGTGAGCCGCTCAGCTTGGGCGTGAGAGTCCTAACAGCCAAGAACCAATGTCCTCCTAGGCTGCCGTTTGTGCAAATGGTGGAAAATGAGAGCGTGACGTGGCCAAGACCATGGGAAGGAGAGGAAGACACGGGCACACCGCCGCCTCTGGGGGCCCGGGGCCCTGGGAGAGGCCGGGGCGGGGTGCGGGAGACCGGGCAGCAGGAAGGAAGAGAACGACCACCGAGTGTTTACAACAACACGTCCAAGTTCTGAAGGATCCCTCGGGTTTCCCCTTCCAAGTAAGATAAAAATAAAAACACAGGGCCAACTCCACCTTTTCACACCTCCAACAAGATCCAGAGAACTGAAAACAAAACTCCAAGCTTTCTGTTACAGATTTTGCCATTAAAAGACCAGCACTTTTCCTGACTCAAAAGGTCTCACGTATCCCATCTCCCCCATTTGTATTTCTCTTTTGAATACGGGAATAATGAGGAGAAATGTGTGCTAGTAACTGTGTCACTGTGAGCTATCGTGTCCCCAGAAGTGCGGTTCCCTCTGTTAAGGGCCCTGTTCCTGCTCCTGGGAGGGGGGCTGACGGGGTGTGGCCCCCGGAGCACCGCTGCTGGTGCTGTTTCCATGTCAGCCCATCCGTTTTCTGAGGAAAGCAGGAAGCCAGGGAAGAGGGAGGATGAAGCAGTGGTGACTTGTGGGTTAAAGCAGGATGGATCAGAGCTCTTCTGACTTGGCAAGTTACTGGGCCAGAGTGTGGAAGCTGGCCGGGGGGAGGGGACAGGCGCACACAACAGTCTGGCTGTCAGGTTTACTACTGTGAACAGAATCTCACAAGACACGGGCCCCTGACGCAGGGCCCCAGCTGGGATGGCACTGAACAACCTCGCGAGTACCCTTCACTGGGACTACCAGGCGTGTGGCACCTCCCAGACTTGTGCAGTCTACAACCTGCACAGCTGTTTACAGCTGCTCTACTGTAACCGACCTCCTTAGAATATGGCATGAGAGCGGATGAACATTAAAATTTGTTTGTAATCTGCAGGTCTTCAATTTTAAAAGATGTCAGCTTTACTGACAACCTAATCGTAGTTCCTGAACCCTCTGCTTCCATTTACCGACAAAATGCAATCAACCCAAGATCCCAAATTATAGACTATTTAACCCTACGTGGCATTTCTTTTATAATTAACAGTAGGATACTTAGATTTTAACAGTGTTCTAGTTCTGACATTTTTAGTTTAATAGTGGAAACTGTCCCATAAAATTATGGTTAATTTTCCTTTTCGTATCAATTTGTCAGGAGATGGCATAGCTGCATTTTACCATTCTGGTTGATATTCACCTCATAAAGGTTAAAACTATAAATAACATCCAAACAAATACTGGGCTAATTTAAAATTTTAATATCAAATCAGAACTTAACACCAATGACAATAAATAAAAACAAAAATGCAAATAAAAACCCAACACCTAGTATACTCAGTAAAAAAAAAACTCCATTATGAAAATACGTAAAATAAATAAGCCAACAACAGGAGGCCAGTGGCATTTCTCACTCTTTTCCTTCTAGGGCACATTTTCTCAATTTTTTTCTCTGTATTTTATTTATTTGTTTATTTTACTTTTGGCTGCATTGGGTCTTCATTGCTGCGCGCAGGCTTTCTCTAGCTGTGGCGAGCAGGGGCTACTCTTCGTTGCGGTGCGTGGGCTTCTCATTGCGGTGGTTTCTCTCGTTGCAGAGTACGGGCTCCAGGCGCGCGGGCTTCAGTAGTTGCGGCGCGTGGGCTCAGTACTTGTGGCTCGCGGGCTCTAGAGCGCAGGCTCAGCAGTTGGGGTGCATGGGCTTAGCTGCTCTGCGGCATGTGGGATCTTCCCAGTCCAGGGCTCGAACCCGTGTCCCCTGCATTGGCAGGTGGATTCCTAACCACTGCGCCACCAGGGAAGTCCCTTCTCTGTATTTCAGATCAAGCTGGTCACTCAAAAATACGACAGGCTTTTGTGGCTGGGCCCTGAGTGAGGTCAGCCCCTGGGGCGCCTGAAGGCCCTCGAGTGTGGGGTGCGGCACGTAGGCCCTGGAGGGGGGCGGTCAGCGAGGTCTGGCCTTTGCAGTTAACTTCTGGCCCTGCAGCTGTGGTGCCTTTTGTAAGTAAGTTCTACATAAAGATCCGTTCATCCCGCCCCTTCTCTCAGATAAACAAACCAGGAGGTGGGGGAGCCAGGGCTTTCCGGGGCGAGGCCTGGTCACGGGGTGGTGGAGGCGCTGTCCCAGGGCTCCAGCCCCGGGAGGTCACACACGGCCATGTGAGGCTGCAGGGAGCTCTCTCTGTCCTACAGCCGAGGTCCCATTTCAGCCAACATCTCTGAGGCTGAGCTTCCCTCTGCCCTGATGTTCATCTCATCTGCTCAGCTCTGCCCTCGGAACTCCCCTGCCCCTCCAGGACGCCTGTGTCGCGTCACGGCACACGCGTGTGAAGGCGGAGGTGGCCCACAATGCCCCAGGTGCCAGGGACCACGGGCTGACCATCAGGCACCAGTTGGGAAGCTCTGCTCTGTGCCGAGCAGCCTCGACTCTTTCCAAGGTCTTCTACTGCCCTGATCGGCATGGCTCACCCACCCTCCACAACCTCGAACACGTTGACCCACCCGGCTGCCAGGCTCAACCCTGTGGCCACACGCAGGGTGCCGAGAGGCGACGGCCAAGTCTCACCTCTGGCTGTGCCACCCCCCAGTCCCCACGACCTCAAACAGGCTCCACGTCCCACAGCCTCTCGTCCCCCGTGCCACTCACCCGTCCCTGACCTTGGGGTGGCCTGCAGTGTCCCTGCTCTGAGATGCAGCCGCCTCGCTACACGAGGAATGCACGGCACTAAATGGGAAGGTGATCTGTGTTTATGGCGCCTTTCTACCCAAACCACAGGCACGCAAAATCCTGTCACTTGAAAGAATCATTGATAAGAACTGCCTCTCCCCCACAGGCCATATTTAGGGAGGAAACCTAAATTAATGTTTTGGGAAATATCCGAGTGGCCTTATTAGTGCTGAGCATCTCTGATAAGCTGGCTATTCTTTCCTATTATTAGAATTATGAGGATAAAACTCCATCAGCAACGGCACTTACAGAGCGTCTTCATTTGCAGGCCTTAAGGGAAGGCAAGTTACTGCCCTTCTCGATACTGCGTTTGAAATCTATGTTTATGTTCTGTAACCTTGCAGCTCAGCTCATCACTTGCTCAGACTGGATCCTGAAGTCTGAAGAGGGTGTGCCAAACCTTACAGCATCAGGAGCTTGTGCCAGGAAGGAAGTCCTGGGGAAAGATCTCAGTCTTTTTACCAGACTCTTTGAGGAAAGGGAAAATCGGCTGATATGGATGGGTAAAGGGTCAGTTCACTTGTAGCTCAAAGAGATTTCAAGTGGAAACTTTTTTCTTAAAAAGCTTGATGGTTAATATTGTTATTTTATAACACAATGTTTATAAAAAACGATGTGTTAATAAATCCAGCAGAGCCACTGAACCCAAATCAATTTCCATTTCCCCGTAAGTACTATGTTGCATCACACGGCAAGAGAAGGTGCCCATCGGACGTGCCTTGCACGTCCCAGCCTCACCACCCACACCCTCCCGCTGCCCTGGAGCGCCTGCACGGAGACCACTGCATGGACACGGGCGGGGCGCCCCCTCACCTCCACTCTTGAGGAGGTAGCGGTTGACATCCTGTATGGTGGTATTGATGGTAGGCCCAGTGGGGACACTTCCAGGAGTGACGTCAGGGTCATTCTCGGGATCTATATTCTGAAGTCCTTTCCAGGGAACTCCAGGATGGAACTCTGGAAAATTCCAAACAAATGAAAATCAGCACATGAGTATTAGAGCACCTTCATGTTGCTTCATGATAGTTTATGGAAACGTTTATAATCTGCTAATTAAGTTAAGAGGCACACTTTAGACTTTCTTTAGTAAATCATCAATCCTTCGGAACAAACTAGGTATTATAGCTACCACGCTGAACACTAAGATGGTGTCCAGACGGGAGGATAAAGCCCAGACATATGCTGACCGAACGGGACACAGCGCCCCTTCCCCATTCTCCTTCCACTGAACTGAGGGCTGCAGAAAACCCTGTGATGCCAACCACACCCACAATTTATCTGATGAATGGATTTCCAATGAAAAAGCCAAAGCTATGGGGTTAAGGCTTCCAGGATTCTGAGCTTGGATCCTGGCTTCTACTGGGCCTAATCGTTCCCGTAGGCTTGGCGTGTTCTGATCGGCTGCCACAGGGAAGTGTGCACACTCTT